AGATCCAGCGACAAATCTTCCAGCTTCACATCATCTGGTTTGATCCCAACTAAGTAGCAGCATTAATAATTAAGTAAATAGGAAGAGATCTCATGTATAAATTAGTGTCTTACCTGATAATGATGATGAAAAGAAAGCAGCTTACAGAGTTCCCCAGAGATGAAATTCTAGAAGATGGTGGACCCCACTGTTTCAATACTAGGCTTCCCAAGTCCCCCTGGGGGGCGGGGAAACCCCCGCCCCAGAGGCCCATTCCCCGTCGCCACCGGATCAGGCCCCCGGGGGAACTCCACCCCGACGTGCACGTCACCCGGAAGTGACGCAACCACACCAGGCACGCTGGGGGCGGGGCCACGGCAATCTGAGGGAAAACTCTATGGTTTTCCCTCATATGGCCATGGCCCCACCCCCAGCGTGCCTTCCATCGTCACATCACTTCCGGGTGACGTGCATGCAGCGAGTGCGCACTTTGTGCGCGCCCACACCAGACACCAGCTGGGAGCCCCCCACTCCGGTAGAAGATCGATTTGGCAACCCTATTCAATACTCATGAAATCTGCCTGTGGAAAATTAGCACATCAGGTAAGAGCTTACAGGCATTCTCCCTGGTATGCTGTTTTTTCTCATGCGGGGAGTTACTTTGGGAGGGCATTCAAACACACACAGCCCTATGGAAATGGTTCAAAGAGATGAGCAGGACAGACAAAAGGAAATACTTCTTTACAGAGAGAGAGAGATTAAAATCTGGGATTTGCTGCCAGAGGAAGTAGTGATGGACACAGGAATAAACAGCGTTAAAAGGAGGTTAGATAGATTCACGGAGGACAAGTCTATCAATGGCTATTAGCCATGGTGACTGAGGGGAACCTCCACACTAAGCCTCTGAGTACCAGAGCCAGGAGGCAACATGAGGGGAAGGCCTCGGGCTCTGCGCCCTGTTTTTTTGCTATCCAGAGGAACTGGTTGGCCTCTGTGTGAGACAGGATGCTGGACTAGACGGACCACTGGCCTGATCCAGCAGGGCTTTTCTTATTTACTTGTATTCACAGTGCCATCCTAGGCGGAGTTACACCCCTCTACACCTGTTGACTTAACTCTGCTTAGTATGGCACTGTGAAACATCCCTCTCAGACAGTGCCCATCGCAGTGGCTTCCGACATCTCACTCTGCAATTAGAAGGCAGAGCTGGGAATCCTCCTGTGGGTTCTCTGAAACATTTCCCTGGCTTCTGTGCATGTGAGGTGATTTATGGAAATGTTTAGCCGTTGCCTTTTTGTTTTGACAAGGGATCGAATAAATTTATCAGGCGGGATTCAAAGTCACACTTCAGATACAATCAGAAAGGAGACACTTTGGGAATTAATAACATCGTTTAGGATATCTGGGCAGCAGCAGATAAAAAAAGCAAGACTCTGTGCCTTTGAAGATCTTAAATGACAGACAAATATGAACCATTTCCTTTAGGCGTCATTACTGAGGGTATTCAAATATAAAGAGCCTTTTTCAGGTCCAAGTGGGGGAAAAGTAGGCTTGCCAAGTCCCCCCCGGGGGGCGTGCGGAAACCCCCGCCCCAGAGGCCAGGTCCCCACCGCCGGCAGATCGGGCCCCGGGGGGAATCCCACCCCGACGTGCACGTCACCCGGAAGTGACTTGATGATGCCAGGCACGCTGGGGGCGGGGCCACGGTCATCCAAGGGAAAACTCTATGGTTTTCCCTAGGATGGTTATGGATGGCCCCGACCCCAGCATGCTGCCATCGTCACGTCACTTCCAGGTGACGTGCATGCGGCGCATGCACGCTTTGTGCGTGCGCACACCAGACACTGGCCGGGAGCCCCCCGCTCTGGTAGAAGATCGACTTGGCAACCCTATTCAATACTCATGAAATCTGCATGTGGAAAATTAGCACATCAGGTAAGAGCTTACAGGCATTCTCCCTGGTATGCTATTTTTTCTCATGCGGGGAGTTACTTTGGGAGGGCACTGTTGTTAGCCTCCATTCAAACACACACAGCCCTTCTACGTATAGAAATGGTTCAAAGAGATGAGCAGGACAGACAAAAGGAAATACTTCTTTACAGAGAGAGAGCGATTAAAATGTGGGATTTGCTGCCAGAGGAAGTAGTGATGGACACAGGAATAAACAGCGTTAAAAGGAGGTTAGATAGATTCACGGAGGACAAGTCTATCAATGGCTATTAGCCATGGTGACTGAGGGGAACCTCCACACTAAGCCTCTGAGTACCAGAGCCAGGAGGCAACATGAGGGGAAGGCCTCGGGCTCTGTGCCCTGTCTTTTTGGCTATCCAGAGGAACTGGTTGGCCTCTGTGTGAGACAGAATGCTGGACTAGACGGACCACTGGCCTGATCCAGCAGGGCTCTTCTTATTTACTTGTATTCACAGTGCCATCCTAGGCAGAGTTACACCCTTCTACACCCGTTGACTTAACTCTGCTTAGGATGGCACTGTGAAACATCCCTCTCAGACAGTGCTTCCAAGGAAAAAAAACCCCCAAAGATGTTACATTTAAAATCTCATCTATGTGAGCCTAACATGTACGGAATAAGTCGCTGCGTCTGCCCCTGAGGAGTGGCACTGTACAGCAGGCCGGAAAACATCTCTGCTGAGGTTGTGTGTGTGTGAAACAAAAGAAGCGGGGGGGGGGCAAGCTTGCAACCTCATTAGGGAAATCTAATTGACTTCTTAGACGCTCAGCCTTCCAATATAATAGATCCCATACAGCTCTCCTGCCTCCCGTCCCTTGCAGGTTGTAAGACACAATGGATATCTCATGAATCCCTAATGTAATCTTGCGTTGGCTGCATTCAGTCGGAGGCAAAGGGCCTTCGAAAACTCCTTTGGCTGTCTGGTGATAATACAACACCCGTTATTTGTCCCAGTTTCAGTGGTATGCCCGGAGAGAGAGAGGGAAAAGTGGTCTGCAGGAACCATTCTTCATCTCTATTCCAGCTTTGTCTTATGCCTGCTTTACAATTCTTGGAACTCTAGAAAAAGTTTCCGAGGAAACCCAAGCAGTACACTTTGGTTCTTGTTCCATAAGATTGATTGCCTCAAATAACTGCGCTGTCGGAGGAGCTGTCCCTTTTCAGTACTTCAGATGTCAAAGAGAGCGCTCCTTATGAATTGAGATGCATATTACCCCTTTCATTTTCCCCAGCAAATTGTTTATGGCAGACTAGAGTCTGCTCTCCTTTTGGTCCCTTTTCGGAGCGGGGAGAAATATTTCATGAATCTCTTAATGTAATCTGTTGTCGGTGGCCTTCTGTCGAAGCCAAAGGTGCTTAGAAATCTGCAGAGGGGCCAAAATACCTGCATCTTTTGTGGAAATTAAAAAAGAAAGGGCTAACCTGGGGCTGAATTAAAGAGGCGGCTGTATCTGGCAAGGTACTGGTGCCGAACCGACGGAGAGTGGACGTAGCCTCATAAAAAGAAACTACACTGGAGTACCATTGATCAGCTCTTTGGCAAAGAAGGGCTGTTCAACTAATCCCATCCCCCGCCCCCAAACGGCTGATAAGAAGGATTCCAGTGTTGCTCACTTTACTGGGGTCCACTGTCCTGGCCCTTTGCACATTCAATTTCCCCTCCCAACTGTTACACCTACATGTGTACAAGTATGGTCCCTAAGTGGATTGGGGTAAACAAATCGTTTTAAAAACATGTTTTAATTTATCATGTGTATAAAGTGCCGTCAAGTCACCCCTGACTTATGGTGACCCCGTAGGGCTTTCAAGGCATGATACGTTCAGAGGCGGTTTGCCATGGCCTGCCTCTCAGTAGCAACCCTGGGCTTCCTTGGTGGTCTCCCATCCAAATACTAACTGGGACCGACCCTGCTTAGCTTTGGAGATCTGATGAGATCAGGCCAGCCTCTGCCATCCAGGTCAGGGCTTGAATGTATTAGTTGTTGTTGTTGTTGATGATGATGTAATTGTTGTTGTTGTTGTTATATTTGATTATTACTATGTTAATGTAATTATTACTCACAATATTGCTTCGGAAGCATATCTATCATGTCAGTTGCATGCTTTCTGGAGGAACAGTGGGAGGCAATGGGATAGATACATCTTGAATGACTGAAGGATTAGCAGTTCCACCAATTCCAGCTCATGCTTTATACTTGGCCAACACCTAAAGCAAAGCTGCTTTCACATGGTGACAATTCTACGCATAGCAATGGAGCGTCCACATGCCAGTTTATTGGCCTCATCCCCCCCATAGCCACTGTTTCTTCCTTCCCCCCATACATATATGCCAGTGGATAGCATTTCCCATCTTTTTAAAAATTGGAAATTGCCAGATTGCTATAGTACAATAATGATACCTTGCTCTGTTGCTGCAACCTGCTAACGCCTCTGAAGTCCCAGCTGAAGTCTCCAGTGCTTTTCATTATAGAGCTATAGTGTAATACCGCAATAAGGAAGCAGTGTTAAAGGAAGCATTACTGCATTATGGGCTTTCCCGTTTCTTCGAGGGTGTGTGTGTGTTCTGTTCTGCATATGTTTTGCTCCCTCTAGTGGCTGATTCAACATCAAACGGGTTTTTCCCAGTTTCCCTGCGAGAAATAAAATTGGGGGTAAAAACATGTTTGGTGTCGAATCGACCACTAGAGGGAGCAAAACACATGCAAAACAGGAAAAACCCCGAAGAAACAGGAACTTGACGACGAGTAAAATGAGAATGCAGAAAAGCCCAAGACCTCTAAGTGACAGTTTTATTCCGCCGTTCTCCCAAGGGGCTCAGGATCTACGTGGTCTCCCTTCCTTTAATTTAGCCTCGCAACATCTCTGTGAGGCAGGTTAGGCCGAGAGACTGCAGCTGGTCCAAGGGCACCCCAGTAGCTTCATAGTACAGTGGGGAGATGAGCCTCAGCCTCTCCAGTCGGAGCCTGATACTCAGTCCCTACACTGCAGCTACAGAGACTGCTGAGCCTACTAGCCCCAGTTTCATCTTTGTCCTTCCTCTCCTCTTCTGCAGGCCTTGAAGCCATCCAACCACGCCACCATCCAAAGCATCGTGAGAGCTGTGGGGGTCGTCTCTGGGATTCCCGAGCCGTGCTGCGTCCCGGACAAGATGTCCTCTCTCAGCATCTTATTCTTCGACGAAAACAAGAACGTGGTACTCAAAGTCTATCCCAACATGACAGTGGAGTCTTGCGCGTGCAGATAACACCCTCCCAGAGCCTACAGAGCCTTCTTGACATCTATTCTCGCGTCCCTGCTCGTTGACTTTTTTGCTTTATGGCTCCCCAGACACACACACACGCACACACTCGCAGCCCGTTTTGCGCCGCCAATGCATTTCATTCTCCAGAGTTTTCGAAACGAGTACGAATGAATGGAAGAGCAGAAGGCGAGAAGGAACAGACCCTTTACATTCCAGAAGATGGAAGGACCTGACCGTAATTTTCTTACTGTGAGGATATGATGGTGGGGAAAATATGAAAGACAGCAGCAGCACTAGTAACAAACTGTTTCTATTGCAAGATGTTCGTTGGGGGGAAATAAGACATCTGCAAAGCAAAGAACTTGATTGAGATGACTTGAAGGTTGTCCGGAGGACCCTTTCGGAGAAAGCTTTCTAAACCACCGGCATTGCTTGGGCTTTGCCCATTCTTCTAAAGACTCTCTTCTGGAGAGAGATTCATAAATGCATTATGTGCTTCTGCCTTAAGTTACTGGGAGATTCCTATGAAGTGCTAAATACATTATGTACTTAAGTGCCGTCAAGTTGCAACCAACTCACGGTGACCCTAAGAAAGGGCTTTCAAAACGAGTGAGAAGCAGAGGTGGTTTGCCATTGTCTTCCTCTGCAGAGTCTTCCTTGGTGGTCTCCTATCCAAGTACCGACCCTGCTAAGCTTCCAAGATTGGGCTATACCATGTTGCCTCCGCTCCTGAAATGCTAAAACAATGTAATCAAATATGGCTTTTCCTTGAAGCTTGCAAAATTCCAATTCTGAGACTTTCCCCCCATTGATATGGATCAAGATCTGTGTTATACTGACAGTGGCAGTGAACTCCTGGAATTCCATCCCTGTCTTCAGGACAGCAGAAGGGAGAGAGGAGGCAGAGCTACTGCCAACTGCTTTAGTAACCCTCTATTTGCCCTGTGTTCTGGCAGTAGAACCTTGTTTAACCATGACACTGGATATGTTAAAAAACACACCTTTGCCTGTTCAGGGGTTCCATATGTCCACAGCCATGTTTAAACGAGTTGCTTTCACCTGTATACAGGTATTAATACTCTAGTACAATCTCTGGCAAGTTAACACAGCATGCATAGTCAACTCTACCATGCAGTTCCTAGCATATAGAGCCCCACGTGGGTAAGACCAACGTCACATTTTTAAAAAAATGTGACAAGCAGTGTCAGCCTGATCGATACTGGTATGAAGGGAGCGTGCGTTGACAAAGTCCAAGGATCAGGGTGACGCAAGATCCATTCTGTATTCCCTAATGACTTGCTAGCGGTCAAGTCCCGAGTCTTCTGGTAACTTCCTGGCATCATTTATGATCAAGCTGTCCCTACAGGGTGAGATCTGTATGAACCACAGAATGGATATGGAGGTCTCGGTGGAGTGAATCTCCTTTGCCGTCATGCATTACCTGTCTCCCAGTGCATGTGGTACACTGCCCCCCAAAGCAGTGCTCACTGATGGGTTTCCAATACTCATTTGTTGCTCCCCTTGATGTAAATAGACAGCCCTTGGTTTCCTCCCTGGAGTGAAAGGTGCTTCAGAAGAACTTAGCAAGGCATCACCTTTGTATCCACAAGGAGCACCCGTTCAGGAAACCACTGTCCCCATTGTAGAAGGATGTTAGATGTCCAACCTTCTGCCCCGGATGGAAGCCATCTTGTGGCTCCACTCATTCTCCATTCTCAAAGTTTCCAAACCGCTCACAGGCTCAACAAGATGGGGACCCCAACAGTATACTGTCTACCTTTGAGGCTTCATGGTCTGGCCCTGAGATTATCTTTAGAGCGCCGTTGATACAGCAGTTTCAGGGGGGTAGCTGTGTTGCGCTGCAGCAGAGCAGCTAAATTCGACTCCAGTCGCGCCTTAGAGACCAACATGATTTTTCAGGGTATAAGCTTTCGAGAGTCCAAACTCCCTTCATCATATCTGACAAAGGGAGTTTTGACTCGTGAAAGCTTATTACCACCCCCACCCCCAAATCTTGTTGATCTCCTGGATATAGCAGAGATTGGGTAGTACATGACCTGAGTCCCCCCATGAGTCTCGTGGCTGTGAGGACCAGGGGACTAGACAACACCAGTGGCCAAGCTTGACAGATGCTCGGTCTCCCTACTTCTAGCCCAAGCCAGGCAAAAGAAGGGCTGCGTGCGTTAGGCTGAGGGTGTGGGCAGCGGTGCTGACCGCAATGCATCCCTGCGCATTGTAGAGCTTGAGCGCCTTTCAGTGGCTATGCATCTTGCAGGAGTTCCTAAGTGCCTCCCACTCTCTTATAATAAGCACAGTGAAGAGCTCTTTCTTGCAGCTCCAGTGCTGGGGCAGGGGACCCCCGACGCTTTGATTCCCAGCTCACCGGAGATACCTTGCCGCTTCAAAGGGCCGAATCCTCTCTTACCGAGGAGCTGACGCATTCGTTATTAAGCTATCTCCTTCTCCATGTAAAAAAATAATTAAAATAAGACTTTGTACATTTTTTTTAACACGTAGGAAATTAATGCTTGTACAGTTGGCGTCAGTACAGTAAAACAAAAAAGCCAAAGGATATTTGTATATGGAAAGAAGCTTTTATTAATGCCTTTAATTTATTTTGTGTCTGTTGCCTTCCCGTGTGTTACTTTCCACTTTCTAGTATTCTTAACACACACTGGTTTTTTACATTAATTTTACAAGATTATATCTATATCTATATCTATATATCTATTAAAGAAGCTACATGTCTTCAAAAGCAATTGTACATGTCACAAACACAGCGGGAAGGATATCTTTTTTCCCTCCTGCGACTGATGTATAAGCTAATCTGTCTCGTTTTCCTTCCTACAATTATAGGATTTTTTTGCATGGCAAATTAATATGTGCAAGATTGTATTAAAAAAAAAAGGGGGGGGGAGACACTTTTCACGTAAACCTTCGTTTTCTTTCTTGATGCCTGATAACCAGAATGTTTATTTAACGCATGATAGTTTAAAAGCAGGATAAAACATTACACCACCCCTTCCTTTTTCAAAGGGATATTGTAGAGAATCATTGCTCTCAGGCAGGGGTCATTTCCTGCAGGAGTGCACAGGAGCGGCGCTCCAGCAGTAAAGAGCCCAGGAGGCGGGCACATGCAACAAGCCCCCCCCCCTGCTCCCAGCAGCCCTCAGTCAGAGCAAGAAGCAGCCAGGTAAGGTGCAGAGCCCCCCTCCCCGGTCCAAAACAGTCCAGTGGCACCTTTAAGGCCAAGTTTTATTCAGGTACAAGCTCTCCCTCCTCTGCGAGGACAGATCTGCACTCCCCCCCCCATAGCTAGCAATCCAAAACAGTCCAGTGGAACCTGAGTGGTGGGTGTTGCCTTCTGACACACTTCCAGTGATGCCAGGGGGTGTGGCATATGCAAATAAGTTATGCTAATGTGTTATGCTAATGAGCTCCTGCACCTCTTTTTCTACGAAATGACCCCTGCTCTCAGGATTTTAAAAATAAACAACAAGATGTGTGGCTGTAGCAGGATATAGAAAGTAACTGCAATATCTGTGCCTCTAGGAAGATTTTGCTCACTGAGTCCTGTAACAGGTCAATTTACTTCAGAAGTCCCCAACATGGTGCCCACCAAGTGCTTTTAGAAAGTGGGTGGGGACAGATGAGGCGTTTCCCCAGCAAAGCTTCGGATTGGCCACTGGAGATTTGATTGGCTGTGCAGATTTTTAAAAATGCTGCTTTGGCAGCAGCTGCCACCACAGCACAAGGGGCTTCACTGTGTGACTGAACGTAAGCTGCACCAGCCTTTTTGTGGCTGGTCCCACCTCCTATGGGGGCCATTTTGCAGCAGCCATTTTGTGGCTGCACCCATCACGTTGTTGTCAGAATTCTAAAAGTGCCCACAGGCTCAAAAAGGTCGGAGGCCTCTGATTTACTTATTTATTTACAGGGTTTATATCCTGCCTTTCCACCCAGTCAAGACTAGCAATTAAAAAGCAGAGTTTTGTAAAAGATATCAAAAAAACCCAATTAAAACCAAAACTAATATACATATATAGAAACATAGAATCAGTCATTAAAACATATGGCAGGAAAAAGGGGTTCATGTAGAGAATGCCAAGCAGGGAAGGGCATGAACCTTGTCATGATGAACACTGCTGGTTTGTGGTTTGCAAACCAGAGGTTTGTGCCCACCCCTGCTTTGCATTAAAACACGAACCTTGTCACAAACCTAATTTTGTGATGAACATGATGAACATCACCAGTTTGTGGTTCGCAAACTGAAGGTTTGTGCCCATCCGTACCCACAACCCTCTACATTGTTTTAGAGGTTTGTGGGGTCTGTGTTGGGAAGTGGGGGGAGGGAGCGAGAGGGATTTCTGAAATGGCTTGCATCTTGTTCAGCCTAACAGCCTGAAATTGATGCAAACCATTTCAGCAATCCCTCTTCACTCCCTCTCCCACACTTTCAATTGTTCCCTTTAAAGGGTTTTTGCAAGCAGCCACTGTGACTGCAAAAGCCTGCTTGCAAAAGTCATTTAAAGGGAAGATCTCAGACCCCGAACCTCAGAAACCAAACCACTTTGGTAAGCAGAGAGATTCAGGGAGGTTCATGGCTCGTGTGACCTCATGAACCAGGACGAATCTCCATTTTCCTGGTTTGTGCCCATCCGTCATGCCAAGTCTTCACCCATTGACAGAAGACACTGATGGAAAAGTATGGATGAACATCCCTGGTACAGGAGTTCCATAGTTTTGATGCTACAGCTGAGAAGTCCCTCCCTTGGGTTGCCACCTGCCTAATCTCAGAAGGCTGAGTCACCCAAAGCAGGGTATTGGCCAGGAAGATTCATATGGGAGCAGGCAAACAGAGTGGCAGCCAAACATCCTTGGTAACCTGCCCAGCCTACCTCTCTTTTCCTGGCCTACTTCACAAGGTTGTTGAGAAGGGAGAACAATGTTCCAAAAGTTGCTTTTGAGCCCCACCTGGGGAGAAGACCGGAATATAAAGAAATGCAAAGGCAGGTATAATGGGCCCAAACTGTATAGGTCAGTACTAGCACCTTGAATTGGCCTGGAAGCAAATTGGGAGCCAGAATAGATGACAAACACTGGACTGATATGGTCACTGTGGCCCACCCCAGTCAGCATCTTAGCTGCAGCATTTTGTGCCAACTGTGGCTTCCAGACAGTCTTCAAGTACTTGGTGTAGCCAGTTTGGTGTAGTGGTTAAGTGCGCGGACTCTGATCTGGGAGAACCGGGTTTGATTCCCCACTCCTCCACTCGCAGCTGCTGGATGACCTTGGGCAAGCCATAGTTCTGATAAGAGCTGTTCTTGAAAAAGAGCAGTTTCTGTCAAGAGCTCTCTCAGCCCCACCTACCTCACAGGGTGTCTGTTGTGGGGAGGGGAAGGGAAAGGAGTTTGTAAGCTGCTCTGAGACACCTTTGGGTAGAGAAGGGTGGGGTATAAATCCAATCCTCCTGTTCTCTTCTC